ACAAAATATAATGCATTGCCTGCTACGAAAAAAACATTTCTGGAAAACGTAGTCACCACAACCAAATGCAAATGCATGAAAAAAAAAAGGGTTAGAGCATTATAGTACATATAGTGAATGTGAAAAATCTTAAAAAAAAAAATGAAGTTAATTCTCCCTTGTTTTAGATAATAGCATGGTAGAGCACATAAAAAAATCATTATATATGACATTGCAAAAAGAGAGTGCATTCAGTTATGGTGAAAAAAAATACAGCATGTCATCGATCTGCAAAAAAAATGTTAATAACAAAAATAAAAAAAAAATCATGACTGACCTTTGCTCATTCAAAATCTGAAATCTAATGTGAAAAAAAAAAAAAATCATAAGTAGAGTAGCCAACMACAATAACAAAGAATACTGATGAAAAAAATAGTGCAATGATTCATGATGTTCCGATATTCAAAACATATAATGCTAAAAAAAAATAATGAAAGTTATATATAATTTGTATATGACATATCAAAGTATTTTAAAAAAAAAACTTGTCTTTCGAATTGCTACATGTGTGCTCTCTATCTAAATTGGAAAAAAAAAAACATAAACAGTTGGTTAATAGTGATGTAATGCAATAATAGAAATAAAAAAAATGCATAAAATGAATTAGATACATATTGAATAAGTGAATAAACAAACAAAAAAATAATGAATGACTATGAACAAATGAAACAAGTGAGTGGATGGTTGACTAAAAAAATGTGTGCTAGTGAGTGCATGTGTGAGTGTGAATATCTTTAGCCACAAAAAAAAATCTAAGATATTCATTGCCACAAAGGCTAAACAATGGCACAAAGGCTGAAAAAAATAAAGGCCACTTTCATGTATCCTTACCTACAAAGGGTAATTGATGGAAAAAAAATGACTGATTTCAAATTGTAGTATTGCCAATCGTTTTTTTTTTTAATTAAAAAAACTGTTTTTGTCTATCCAAATATAGAATTGCAAATTTATTGACAAAACAAAAAAAAACACTTAATGCAAATTCATCACAAAACACTGAAATCGTTAGCACTTAAAAAAAATAGTGCATCAAGTCTAACGTTTTTCCAAAACTTTAATATTCAAAACAAAAAAATTCAAAATTTGCAAAAATAATTTATTTATGTTGTTGACTATGATATAAAAAAAATTAGAAATAAG